ACTTGGGTGTTCTGATGAAGACTAACACACCATGAGCTTGGCCTGCTGCCGGTTAAAGTGAATGTTCCTTTTGTCCTGCCACACACTTTCTTTGCCACTCTAGCACCCACAGTCCCTCACCCTTATCTTAAGACCCAGACAAAAAAATGAAACCAGAACAGTTCTGAAGATGATAAAGCCAGCTGTAGCTCCAGTTCCCAAGCAAAAGTGACTGCGTACCACCAGGAAAACATCTTTTGAAACCATGCCCGCGGACGATCGCCAAAAGCCCTAGTCCACTCCAGATGATCAAAACTGCCAGCTGTCCCCTCTGTTGAATGGAATGAGCTGATCATGTCTTAGCTCATAGCCCTCTGCTCTCAATCTGAAGCTCCACCCCACCCCATTATCAATACTGCCTGTCTTGTTCGTTATGTGGCTTGGTCTCATTTCTATAGTTTCCATGTCACAAGGTCCCACTGTGTGCTATCAACTTCTTTCCAGTCCAGATCCCACTCAGCCATGAGTACAAGTTCCACCCTTGTAAGTAAGAGTTAGATGCCTGGTCTTTATTCTGTCTTGTAGAGAGTTGACTAAGATTGAGGAGCAAAGATTTCCACCTAATTCCCTTGATTCTTTGACCAAGGCCCTTCCTTCTGTGGTCCACCTTCCCTCTGAGAGACAGACACAGTACCGGGCCCTTTTTCACCAAACTGTTCCAATGCTCTGAAGTTCTGCTCTTCAGGAGCCTCATAATCTTCCAGTGATGCAGTGAGTCCTACAGCTACATTCCCGGGCAAAAGCCTGACATGGGCACCCAGGCCATCAGGATGGCCAGGTGAGAGACCCTGCTATGGGGCTGGGAGCACACTGAGGTCTCTCATGGTGGCTCCCTGAGACAGTTAGTGCAAAGCTGAGAACAAAAAATCACAACAGCAAAGTTCTAATAGGGGGCTCTGATCATCATGAGTATCTGGGTCACCCTCCTTGTCACTGGACACCAGCTATGTCCACAGCTTCAGTGGAAGTTCCAAAGAAATTACCTTCCCTTCCGTTCACAGGAGGCAGGTGATGGGAGCGGCTAGGCATGCGCAACATAGGCTCAAATAGGCTGCCCATCTACTCAGAGAAAGATGAAGGGCTAAGTGACAGGGCTGATGTCTGTGCCCTGCCTGGCAGGTGACAATACTCAGCCGACAGCATTTCAGCTCTCTAACAGCTAAATACCAGGAAATCTGACATGTGCAAGAAAAAGACAGCTTTCAACTATATCGTTTTAACGGTCTCCTGAAAAAAAAAAATTACTGCCCAGGATTAGTTTGAAGTGATGTTTAGAGGAAAAGTTCTAGAATGTGCAACAATGAACTATAAGAAATGTTTTCCCATGCCGGGCGGTGGTGGCGCACGCCTTTAATCCCAGCACTCGGGAGGCAGAGCCAGGCGGATCTCTGTGAGTTCGAGGCCAGCCTGGACTACCAAGTGAGTCCCAGGAAAGGCGCAAAGCTACACAGAGAAACCCTGTCTCGGAAAACCAAAAAAAAAAAAAAAAAAAAAAAAAGAAATGTTTTCCCTCTTGCAAAAGGCTAATCCACATCTGGAATGGATTCCCTATCTCACTGGACTACCCAGGCATCCACAGTAAGCTGATTCGTTCCGGTGAAAACAAACAAACAAAAACAAGTTTGAAGGCTGCCCTCATCCGACTTAGCTTAAAAACATCCCATCTCCACGTAAGCTCCTGCATCCTCGTTCTCTCACACAACTTCTCCGTTTTGTTTTTGCGGAGGAGAATATCATGTCCTGCACGTCAGGGAGATGGACGTGGAGGGACGACAGAATGTATTCACAGCAGAGGGTCTCTGGCTTCAGAAGACACGGGCTGCAGCTCAGCACTCAGCAATGACCTGCTGGTTCAGGGTGCGCTTTGGGGTCTTTAGAGCAGTAGGATTCGCGGGAAGTCTACCTGTGGGGGTAACCACTTTGCAGACAACCTGGTTACAAATCTTATGTCCCCCACCCACACTGGGGAGGTCCTGGGCAGGCTCAGGACTGGCTCACAGGCAGGGACTTTGTTCTTGTTCATCATCCCTCAACCCTTACATTTCTCTTTTAAGTGTCTACCGTTATAGCTACTCCACATTGTCCCAGCCCTCCCTTCCTGTACAGCCCTGCTGTAGCACACACACACCTCTCCTTGAGTCCCTCTCACTTCCTGACACCTCCCCACAGGTTACCAGCCTTTGGACCACTGCTCTGGCTCTCCCTGCATCTGGCTCTGACTTAGGAAACAGCTCCAGACATTTGTGAGGTATGAGTGACTGAGGCCTGCTGAGATCCAATTTAGGATGCATGTCACCCCACTGCACCCTCCACTTCTGCCTCCACTTAGCAGAACAAGCTCTTGGCTCTTCAGAAAGCTGTCTTTCTTGAATGGATTTCTCATCTCGACAGAGAATTTGACCCCATATAATGTTCTTTTTCTCCTCCAAGCGGTGATCATACTAATTTCCCTTCTACAAAACAACTTCTTATGAATGAAAACTTAGATTTACTCTGGCCAAAGGTTTTGTTGATGATACCCTGGAGTTATGTGATTTTCATACATCACAGATATTAAAAAATACATGTAGTGAGGTGGTAACTTAATCTCATTTACCTAGTACCTCCTAATGGGTTAATCAGGGCTTTCCCATCGACATCCAAGGATCAGGAGGCTCCTGTCCTACTGGGGCAAGGTTTAGCCTCAGTGGTATTCTAGTTTTGTCATTGTGGGTATGTTAGAAAACTGAATGAATTAAAAAAAAATCACAGCAACAATCTTGACTGTATTCTGAATTTCTAAGTAATATCCCCCAAATCCAGTGGTTTAAAATTTAAAAGTTGTGAGAACAGTTTAATACTTCATCAGCTGTCAAGTCAATGAGGTTTCTATTCAAGTATTTTAAAGCAAAGGATTAGAAACCACTTGGCTTGCAGGAGAATCTGTCACTCTGTCGTCCTGAGTCATGGTGTTTATGACACCACTTATCAAGGGGCTGCCATTTATCCGTGATTCTTTGTCACCTTGTTGAATCACCTTGTTAAGCCTAATATATTCAGAAGGGGTCTGGGACACTGTGATGCAAATTCAGTGCTTCCCCCAACTTCATATTGATAAAACGCTTTCCCTGCATCAACATTTTACATGTACTTTCAGTGCAAGTGTGCAGAGTTAGCGAGTTCTATTTATGGCCAATGTCCTCCATGTAACCTAATCCTCCTTTTCACAGCAGTGAACCAAGTGAGACCTATTTTCTGCCAAAAAAAAAAAAAAAAAACCTGACCTACTTTTCCGATAGAAACAAAAGTGTTAGCAAGCTTTTCCAGGGATATTGAAAAAGAAAACCATGAGAAATGAATTATAGTAGACAGCCTGGAAGAGAAGTTACTGGAGACAATGAAGTCAGGACTTTAAACATGGGGCTCTTTTTATACTGAAAGAAAATGAGCCTTAATTTGAAACACCCTCACAAAACATGCAGGTGAGTGTTCAGGTTACGCACTGAGGTGAGAAAAGACCTGCGTTCTTGTTCCTATGGCTCCTAGCTTGTTTGTCTGCACAGACGTGCTCTCTCTTCCCTCCAGAGTTTCCATGGCACCAGGGATGTGAGTGAGGAAGTGCTCTAACTGTATCGCAGCCCTTCTCTTATTTGCTAGTATCACCATCAAATGCTCCTTCATACTTACAAAACAGAAAGGTACAGGCTGCTATTGGAACACAATCCAAGTTGTGTGAGGGGAATTCTGAGTACTTGTAAAATTCTAAGAAAACAAGACCGTCTTGAGACCTGTTTCTTCAAAAACATGGAATTGTTCTTGGAATGTGGTTTCCTGCTCCTCCCACATGTAGCAGATAGAAGTGAGTTGACTTCAGATTATTCATCACAGCTGGCTATTGTTATTTGTTTAAATGCCTCTATAGAAAAACCTGTTTTTGCCACATGCAGTTTGTCCTCGTGATAACAGACAGCTTGAACTCACGAGAACTTTGCTTATGTGACCATTCTTAACCCTCAGAGTATAAACTGATGACCTGAGTAAAGGTGGCTATTGCATGAGACTTTAGTCCACTTCATTTTTAGGATCCATTCTCCCAGGTTCAACCGCCAACTAGAGCGGTAAACAGGTTGCTAAAAAGCTAAGTCAGGTAGCTGTCACATCAGAATCGATATCTGCAATACTTTAAAGAACATTCAGTTCACTCCCAGAAAATAAAAAGACAGGAGCAGAGAAGCAAACTGCCTGAGACCCAGCCAAGTGGCCCTCTGACCCTGGAGAGGAGGTCATATAAAGGTAGCTGACATTTTCTAGGTCACACAGGTTAACAGTTAGTTGTTTTTGCCTCCATTTTGGCTTCCCTGTTATCAGCCTGAGATAAACAATCAAGGCAAATGTGTTTAACAGAGCAGAGTAAGTCAAACTCTCACCTGAATTGGTTTTACTACCTGATCAGTTCCAAAACAGAGAAGGGGGTCATGTCTCTAACTGTGCTGCTTTTAAAAGATATATGGTGCATATGACTCTTTAAAACATTTTTACATTAATTTCATATTTAATTGTAGAAATATCAACCAAATAGGTGTTTTCAACAGGAAACTAAAATCAAAGTCATTCCAAACTCCACAGCCATAGTCCCTTCCTTAGAGACTTAGCCATGTGCTCCCTTACCTAACACGCACATTCCCTCAAGACCACCCTTTCTACAATCTTGTAGGCAACTCTCCCTCAATCTGAATGCCCTTCTTTCCACAGGACCCTGTACACTGGAGCACGGCCAAAATCTCTCCAGGAAGGCAGAGAAGCTAGGAGCTGGGACCGAGGGAGCCTCCAGGTGGATAGAGGCACTGAGCGCTTGGTGCGATGTACAGGAGGTAACACGACCAGACACACTCATACCTTTCAAATTACGATCGAGAGGTTTCGACTCCAGACCCGCCGATGGAGGCACGGACGGAAGTGACAAGGAAACTCTCCACAAGAAGTCATAGTGAAACGTCTTAGTCTTTATTAGGAACATCTCAGTCCTTTGTCTACATGTGACAACATCTCGTGCTCAGTTCCGGCTGGGCTCGGTGTGAGAGGAAGCTCATGCAGGCTGTAACATGTGGTCTATACATAAATATACATACAGAGAACACTGAGGATTGTAGCTTAGCAACATGTTTCTTGGCTGAATTACATTCATGTAAAGTGTCCAAATTCTAAAAATCAAATTAAAAGTATATAACTCAAAGCCTGGAAAAGCAAACAGCTTTTAGGGGCTTCTCCCATTAACATTCCGCAAACTGTGCTTTTAACCTACTGTGTTCCATTCAGAAGAATGGCCCATCAGTTCCTACGTACCATCAGCTCCTGCTGTGGCTACAGTTAAGTGCTTCTGAGGCTGGGCACTTGTCATTCAAACAGCAAACAGAAAGTACAGGCACTACCACAGAGACGTGAACATTTCCCCAGGAACTGAAAGAAAAGTGCACTGAGCGCCAGTCATGACTGGTCAGACCTATGTGACTAAGTGGCTCATGGTCCCTGGCAGGTCAGAGGCTTCCCAATCCCCATCCCCTAATGTCACATGAACTCAGCGGCCCCAGTGTGGAGCAGTTCACAGCTGCAGATAGGGTGTAACCACCTCTTCAGCCTTGGGGACTGTCACATGATAGATATACCGAGAGACAAGGACACATACAAGCTGTACACACTGAACACATACACTCTGCCTTCTCATGATGTAGTCTGGGGCTGACAATATGGAGGAAATCTTTGGAGAGGTTCCCTAATCTTGAGAACTTAGATAGAGCTGCGAATTTCAGCTCAATTTCTTTCTCTTTCTGGATCAAAGTTACGACTGGACAGAGCTGACATTTCTGGAGTAAAGTATTTTGGAAGTGACAAGCTGCTCCTGCATTGTGTGTACTTACTCTTAGCATGGGGTGATGCAGCTCACCCAACATTCCTGACCCTCTGGTGGTTGCCCACCCTTGGTGCACCTGTCTGAAACTAAAGGGGAGACGTAGGCTGAAAAATAAGCAGCAACTACAGCCTGGAGGTAAGATGAGCTGGGCACAGAATAAACAGACAGCAATGCCTTATGAGATGATGGTTTGCACACTTAAATTGATTTCTAATTATTAAAAAAAAATTCAAAATAGGAAGAATGGTCAAAGACTCAGATTCCGATTCAAAGTTGTAGTTCTTTGGTGTCCCTCGCTGGGAGAGGTGCTTCCTCCTGACACGATTAATGGACCAGGGTTAACGGTATGGCCACCACACCCACCCTGCATAGATCTAAGTGGAGAGCCCTGGCCCTACACAAACATGCTAGCCCATCTGAGACTCCCTTGTGACAATGACCTCCTAGTGAGTAGCTACAGCCCTGTCAAAGCTGGGCCTGAATAGTCCTGAGGGATATGCTTTGTGGAATTAACACAGAATGGAGAACCTCCTAACCTTTACCTGCTGAAGTACCCAAACAATTTCCATCACGTTCTTGGTGTGTCAAGCTTTCTGCTGAGTGTGCGATGTCTAGGTCCTGGACATGGACTACCATCATGGTGTCTATGACCTTCTGGAAGGGGCTCAAAGTGCTTAGTGTCTTAAGTTAACATTTCCGTTTCTTTTCTCTCTGGCCACAGATGGGCTGTTTGAGCTACCACAACCTGGGCGCAGGGGAAGGTGGTGCATGCCCCCATGCTGCCGCCTCCTTCTCACTGCAGGGAGCCCTCCAGGCTGTCTTCCTCCCTCCTTCCGGGTCAAGTCTAGGCAGGCCAGGCCCCTGTGGTTTTAGGCATGCTATAAATTGTACCATTCACTTTCCGGTTGGGCACTCTTGTTATGTGACACGGAAAGCCAGATGTAATGCATGGTTCTCAGTGTATATGGGATACACTTTTGCTATACTTTATAACAAAAATGTACTTAAAAACAAACACAAACCCAACTAAGTCCATCTCCCCATCTCCACTAGAAAAAAACACATTTAAAAACAAGAGTAAGAACACACCAACATGGTGTTTTTCTTTCCGGAAAGTGCAGGAGTCTGTGTGGAAGGTGCTGATACTATGACAACATGAGACCCTTTCTCTAAGGAACCCCAGTGCACTGTATTCAAACAAGGCCCTGCCATGGCCCACAGGGCTCTGTGATCCTGACTGGGAGAGCTCACCTTTGTCAGGAGGGCAGGTGGTGAGCTGGAGATGTCTGTAATGACACATGTCACTAGGGAGTTCTGGTAGGACCTTCATGCCATGAGGATCAAGCCCCACAGGATGAGAACCATGTGAGATACCCACAAGGACACAGACAGGGCTCCTGACACGGGGACACAGTAGGTCTCATGTAAGCGACAACACACAGCCTCTTGAGGTCTGCTGGGGATCTGGTGGAACAGACAGTGGCTATGCTTTTGTCCTGGTTTTTCTCAGTGTGTCAAGGACACAAACACCTGGGGAACAGCACAGCGCCACCCAGCTGTCAGTGCTCTGGATGCAGCTGTAGTGGATGGGTGCTGTGGGATGAGTCTGCACCTTCTCCGCTCATGGCCCTGAGGCTCTTCAGAGCAACCTGCTGGACCCAGCTGGCACAGAGCCGACAGCCACAGCCCCTCCTCCCTCTACTCCTCCCTAATCCTGAGTGGAAGCAACAAGGCACCTGGGGCAAGTCTGAGCACAGGAGGTCCAGGTGGTCCACTCCAGGGCCCTGGGGGCCACCCTGTGCCTAAAGGGTGCTGAGAAGCATCTTGGGGCTGAGACCCAAGATGCCAATAGCACCCAGGCCTGCCTGTCCAGATACCAACGTCTGGTCTGCAGCATTCTGGCCTCATACTGCCTCACCAGCTTCAACCTGAATGCTTTGTTTTTCAGACACGTGTCTGATAAAGCTGGAAGGAATAACTTAATAATACGCCTTACCTGGCATGCTCCAAGAATGGTACCTGCTTAAATAACACTCTCCATTCTGTGAAGCTTTCTGAGTAGTCATGGCTCTGACCCACCAGATCCCATGGAAGGAGCAGAAGGCAGGCTGTGTACTCTGTGTGCATAGCAGCCCTACTGAGTTCTTCTAGGTCACAAAACCTACATGGTTAAAACCCCCAAATGATGACCAGCCAATATGCTATGGATGTATTTGATCTTCAGAAGCAAATCGAGTTCTCCATGATCTGAGCCTAACCAGGGGCATGGAAGTTTCTAGAGGCAGCAGATCCTAAATCATGACTCTGTAGGACACAGCATCCCTGCTGCAGGGCCAGTGTGTGCCAGGGTCACACCATATCATGCTGGGTCACCCCAGGAGAGCTGTTAACACCTACTGTGAGGACCTAACTGTGAAGGACCAGAGAGGAGTGGCCACGCATAGATGTGAGTGTGGTGGTTCTCTTCCTACCTCTCTATTCTCATGCTCTTCCACAGAGAAACGCTTTCTTTTTTTTTTTTGCAATTAAAATAATGTGGCATAAAAGTGACCTGACATAATTACTTCTTATTTTATAAATCTCATTCCTAGCTCTGAATAAATTATTTATTCAAGAATCTCACACAAAGTAATTTCTATTTTCCTATACTTAGGAAGCCCTACTCAGTAGAACTCAATGTCTAATGTAAACTGAGATATAAAGCGGTCACTGGGTAGCTCAAGAGGGGAAATGTGTGGCAAGGGGTGGTGATGGGCCCCTATGCCCCCCATGCACCCCCACTGTGCACCTGATCCCCATTCACATGTGAGGTGCCCGGCACCCTACATCCCCATGCTGCCCTGTTGGGGTGAGAGCTGCTGGGGATGGTGCTCGATGTCCAGTGGTTCCCCCAGACTCCCCATGCCCTCCCCAAGGTGCACACCTGTCCCAGTTCGGATGCAAGGCTCTGGAGGACGACCCCGCAGCCTCGCACTCTGTGCTCGACACCCGCCTGGCTCAGGGAGTGAAGGAGAACTGGTCCTGCTCTGTGGGCTTCTCCACCCAGGCGCCCAGCCCCGCCTTGATGAAGGCAGTGAACAGACGTGCCTTGGCAGCCTGGTACTCCTTCGCTGCCAGCTTGGACTCGTGGTATGTAGTGGGCTTAGTGATCTTGGTGCGCAGCAGGTGGGGGGGAACCTGTAGAAGGATACATGCACATGTAAAGCCACTACTGGAGCAGTAACGGAAGAAGAGAGAAACCTAGGCAATGTTAAAAAATGATGCTCAGGACTGTGCTGGTTTGTGAAAAAAACAAACAGAAGGTGCTCTCCTAGACGGAAGAGTACCCACAAGAGGCCAGCCTAAAGCTCAGTTTCATCTCTAAGCAGTGGCCTGCAGGTCGACAGATGGCTGCAGGACCTGTGCTTCTGGCAAATCCCAGGGCACAAGTTCCACCTGTCCCCTGTAACTATGAAAAAGAACACCTAGGTGATGCATGCCTTGCCACATGGCAGAGACTGGAGGTGTCCTGCAAAGCCCTTGGGTTACCATGATAACATGTCTTTCCCCATGAGGGTGGGAGAGTTGGAGCCCCACATGAGGGCTCTAAGCTGCCCTCATAATAAGAAGACATATCCCTGACTTAGACAAGAACGAATGTTATCCGGCCTTATTATGAAGTTTTACTTGGGGAAAAGGGCTCTGCAGCTAAATTAAGTTTCTGACCCTTGAAGGGGACAGAAGCCAGCATGGCAGTGCTCAGCGACTGCCCTTCCTTTTCATGATTCTCGGCACAGTGGCGCCAGCAGTCTCCTCCCCCAGGGCGAGGATAGCAGCTAAGACTCCGCAGGAGTGAGGGAGGAAGCTGTCTTTGAGGCAGCTCTCAGGCTTGTGGGGCCAGGGCCATACTTTTAATCCAACAACAATCTGAAGAAATCAGAGTTTTCAAATGATCTTGTTGGGAAGTTGAAAGGATGACATGACGATGAGAACCAGGAGGGATGGGAGGGATGGAGACGGACACGCTGGGGGAGGTGGGCCGACACCCAGCGAGGGCGCCTCAGTACCTTGCCGTGTACACGCATCCAGCGACAGTACAACGCGTGCTTACACAGGCGGGATGGGCGGCCTAGCTCGTCCTTCCCTGTGGTGGCGTTGATGACCTCTATGGCAGAGTCGCCCACTGTCCAGTTGACACTGAAGTTGGGTGCCTTCCCTGGCTGCCGTGCCTCTGCATTGCTGATGCCTGGAACAGAGCAGATGCAGAGGTGACGTGGAGCCCTCGTTTCCCACCAGGAAGGAGGAGGTTGCCGGCACAGCGCCGGCACAGCACACGGTTCAGAGCTGAGGATGCATATCCCACCAGGATAAGGCGTATGACGGCCACAAGGAGGAGGCCAAGCCTCCCAGTGTGCAGCTGTCTCTTGGTGGCCCAGGAAAAACAGGGCTAAGAAGTCAGAATTGATACATAAATGTATACTTGTCTGTGAGGGGCAAGACTACAGAGTCTGACAGATCCCCGAATCCACAGGATTTCCTGCCAAGCATGCCTCAGCTCTCCCTGGGGACCAACAGAGCTAGAAACCTAGCAAGGGACAGATGGGCAAGCGGCCTCAGGTTCTACAAAGTAGGACTAGCAAAGACAGTATATAGTCTTGCCACTGAAATGCCATGTACCAGGCTACTCAGTTTCATAGCACAGCACTCCAGGCACACACAGAAACCTAGTACTTAGCAAGTAAGCACAGGTACACTCTCATACTTAAATGATTTCACTGTAACCAACCACAGGCTTGCTTCGAAGAGTGAGAGGCTTTAGGAAGATATCTGGTAGGGTGGTGGTGGCACAGGCCTTCATTCCAGCACTCCGGAGACAAAGGCAGGAGAATTTCTGTGAGTACATGGATAGCCTGGCCCACAGAGTGAGTTCCAGGACAGCCAGCGCTACAAGGAGAAACCTGTCTTGAAAAACCAAGAAAAAGAAAGAAAGAAAGAAAAAAAAGAAAGACAGAAAGAAAGAAACAAAGAAAGAGAGAAAGGGAGAAAGGGAGAGGGAAGGAGGGAGGGAAGGAGAGAGTTAGAGAGAGAGAGAGAGACAGAGACACACAGAGAGATCTGGCTAAGGAAACTGAACACACATATTTAAGCTTTATGCTGTGCCTTAAGATACAAGACATGCAGATGCTATGACCCTTTTACAGCCGACTCCCAGGAGAGAGTGGCACAGGGGCAGAAATGCAGAGGTAATCAAAAGACTGAAGAGTATCCCTGAGCAGGGAAACTCACCACGGCATGCTTGTTCTTCAAGACTAAAGGCTTCTGAGAAGACTGGAGGGAAGGGTTCCTAGCAAGTACATGCAAGACAGAGACAAAGCCCTGGACCAAACTTCTAGAGAGGAACTAGTGTCTGAGAAAAAAAGTATCCATGACGAACTTAATCACAAAGTGCAGAAGAAAATACCAGTGAACCATCAGACATGAGCTACTCAGAATGAAACACACACACACACACACACACACACACACACACACACACACGCACACACGCATGCACGCACACACATGCACACACACACACATGCACGCACGCACACATACACACACGCGCAGAGAGAGAGAGAGAGAGAGAGAGAGAGAGAGAGAGAGAGAGAGAGAGCATGAAAGAACCAAATCTATGTGTAACTGGAATTCCTGAAAAGAGATGGCATGGAATATACATATATATATATATGAATAAAATCTTTCCACATTCTATGAAACCAGCCAACTACAGAACTAAGACATTCAGCAAACCCCATGCATAAGAAATATGAAGAAACTACATCAAAGCATGTCACAATAAACTGCTCAACATCAGCACAGAGTGAAAAATCTTAAGCACAGTAAGAGAAGACAAACAGAGGAGCCAAGATGGGCTGGACCGTGCAGATAAGAAGACAGGGCAATGGCCTTTGAGTTCTAAAGAAGCATAAAGCCCTACCATCCCAGAGAGATACACTAGCTCAGCAAAATCTATTTCTAAAGATGAAAGCAAAATACACTTTCAGACATACTGACGCTGAATAGTTAATTCATCTTCAGGAGACTCTTAAAAGGAAGGTAAGAGAGTTCTTTAAGTCAAGGGGGAAGATGACAGCAAATGGGAATCCAGACCCACACAAAGGAAAACAGGGAGAGAGGTAGGGGGGAGGGAGGGAGGGAGTCCTTCATTTAAATACCTTTAAAAGATAATAGAATTTTGAAATCAAAGTAATAATGTGGGATTTTTAGCACACAAAAAAATTAAATTGTGATAATACCACAAAGGCTAGGGGAAGAGAAACGGGAGCATCTATTGTAAGAGTCAGAGGGATGTCACTGTGTGTGAAGTGGGATAGTATGACTTGAAGGCAGATTGTGGTACATTAAGGATGTATATTATAAACCCTTTAAAATTATTAAATCTACAAAACAAAAAGTAACAGCTAAAAAAGTAAAAGGGAGCTAAAATATAATCATCAAACACAATCAATATTATGGTAAGAAAAAATGGAAAGGGGCAACCAAGAACATTAGGATCAAATAGAAAATAAGTAGCAAGCTGGGCAGTGGTGGCGCACGCCTTTAATCCCAGCACTCAGGAGGCAGAGGCAGGCGGATCTCTGTGAGTTCGAGGCCAGCCTGGGCTACCAAGTGAGTTCCAGGAAAAGCGCAAAGCTACACAGAGAAACCCTGTCTCGAAAAAACCAAAAAAAAAAAAAAAAAAGAAAATAAGTAGCAAAAATGACAGTTAATAATAATCATAATAAAAGTAAATGGTTTAAACACCTCAGCTAAAAGGAAGAGATTACTGTGTTTAAAATAAAAAGACTTTTTTTAAAAAAGATATACACACTAAGCCAGGCAGTGGTGGTGCACACCTTTAATTCCAGCACTCAGGAGGCAGAGCCAGGCAAATCTCTGTGAGTTTGAGGCCAGCCTGGTCTACAGAGTGAGATCCAGGACAGGCACCAAAACAACACAGAGAAACCCTGTCTTGAGAAAACAAAACCAAAACCAAACAAACAAAAAAAGACATACATACTATCACCAATCAAAGGAAAGCTGAGATCACAAAGCAGATTACAGAACAAAGGACATTTCCAGAGAATAAAGGTTATCTTACAATGGTAAAGAAGATTGATTTATTAAAAGAAGTCAACAGTCCTAAAGTTTTATGCATTTATCACAGGGCTGAAAAATATATGAAGTAAACACTTAAATTAGGAGAAATAGACAATCTACAATTCTAGTGAAAAGAGAGTCAATATCTTCTAATGAACTGACAGGTCAAGTGATCAGTACGGACATGAAAGATATGACCAAGTCCATCAGTTTGGTCAAGCTGACATTTATAGATCACTCTACCTAAAAACAACGGAGATGCATTCTTTTCTGGTTCTCACAGAACATTTATAAAGACAGATTTTTAAAATATAATTATGTAGGGTGGTGATGTTGCATTTAATCCCTGCACTCAGGAAGCAGAGGTATTCTGATCTCTGAGTTCGAGGCCAGCCTGGTCTACAGAGCCAAGCTCCAGGATAGGCAGAGAAACCCTGTCTGAAAAACCAATATACATATTTATTTTGCATACACATGTACATAACAGAACAGACTGTGGTGGTCAGAGGATAGATAGCCTGTGGTAAACAGTCCCTCTCCTTCTACTGTGTGCACCCAGGGGACCTAACACAGGTTATCAGGCTGGACAGCAAGTGTCTTTAACCACTGGGCCACCTCACCAGCCCAATACAGAAAGAACATTGCTGCACTGCAAAAGAAGTCTTAAGAAATTTAAAAGGACCTAGATTATAAAATGGAGGTCCATTTGAAATTGGTAACACAAAAACATTTTTCTAAGCCCCTCTAATATTCTGAAAGTAAACAGCACACTTGCAAATAACCTATAGACAAGGAGTTTTGAAATAAGTGAAAATGAAAACACAACATAATGATACTTATAAATGCTATAAAAGCAGTAAAAGAACGATCTCTGCTAGCATCTTGAAGAACTAGAGAAAGAGTAAGTAACACACTGTGTGCACAGAAAAATGAAAATAATGAAGAAACAGAAGTAATTAAAATACAAAACAGAAAATAATAGGAGAAAATCAATGAAGGCAGAAGTTGTTTTTTAGAGATGATCAAAAGAATTGATCCTGTCAGTTAGGTTGACCGGAAAAAGCCAACGCAAACCACTGTCTCAGGGTTTCTACTTCTGTGATGGAACACCATGACCAAAGCAAGTCGGGGAGGCAAGGCTTTATCTGGCTCACTCTTTCTTCTACATCACTGTTCATCACTGAAGGAAGTCAGGACAGGAACTCAAGCAGGGTAGGAACCCGGAGGCAGGAGCTGATGCAGAGGCCATGGTGGAGTGCTGCTTACTGGCTAGCTCATCATGGCTTGTTCAGTCTGTGTTGTGATAGAACCCAGGACCACTAGCCCAGAGATGACTCACCCACAATGGGCTGGACCCTCCCCCATTAATCACTAATTAAGAAAACACCTTACAGGCTTGCCTACAACCCTATTTTATGCATGTATTTTCTTGAGGATCCCTCCTCCCTGATGACTCTAGCTTGTGTCAAATTGACAAAAAACTGGCCAGTATAATCACCAACACGAGGATGGGATACAGTGCCACTGAGACGCCACAGAGATTAAAATGGTAAGAACATCAGGGATACATTTATACCCACAATTCACAAATCAGGTGAAATGCACAAATTTCTTGAAGATATAAACCACCAAGCTTACTCAAAGACAAAGAGTGAAGCAGTAACAGACATTTAATTTGTAATTTCCTGTGGCTGGAGAAATGGCTTAGTGGTTGGGAGTACTGGCTGCTCTTCCAAAGGATCTGGGTTCAATTCCCAGCACCTACATGGCAGTTCACAACTCTCTGTAACTTCAGTCCATGGGAATTCAACACCCTCACACAGACATACATGCAGGCAAAACACCAATGCACATAAAATAAAAATAAATTATTAATTTGTAATTTCTTCATAAAGAAACCTCCACAAAATGGCTTTACTTTGAATTCAACCAAACATTTAAGGAAACATTAATATGAACCCTAAACAAACTCTTCCAGAAAAAAATTGGGAGAGAGCTGCATCTCAACTCATTTTATGACTGAGAAGGGTATTAAAAGAAAACTATGGCTGGGCGGTGGTGGTGCACACCTTTAATCCCAGCACTCGGGAGGCAGAGGCAGAG